TAGTTAACAACTTCAGCGTCTCAACCATCCCAAGTCTAGAGCCCCAGGAAGGTGCCAAAGCTGCCCCATTCCCATGGCATCTGGGCACAGGCCACCAGAGTATTGATGGCGATTCAGAGAGAGACGTTTGCCCTCCGCACAGACAAGGTCAGATTCAGCACTTCTCACTCTCCTGCTCTGGCCTCCCGCTTAGATCTGCATCCTCCTCCCTGGCCACAGCCTTTCCCAGGAACGTGAGCCTGGTGAGGAGGCCAGGCCTTTGAAAGACCCCTGCACCTAACAACGTGGTGAGGAGGGGCCGCGCTCCCTCCACACTCCCCCTCGGTGCTGAGGGGGCTTGGCCTGCACCGCCAGGCAGGACTGTGGCTCCTGCCCCAGCCCCACCCCCCACCCGCTGCCATCCCCTTCCCACTCTCCCCCCATCCCAAATCTCAAGGAACAATCCCAACAGCACAACACGTCCTCCAGCGTAGTTCTCAGCTCGGGCTCAACCCCTCATCCTTGCCCTCCTCCTGCCTCTAAGAGGCTGCCACATGGGTGTTACAGACCCTGAAGAACATTCTAGCCTTGAAAGCGCTCTGAGCTCTTTGGGCTAGATCTGCTAGAAACTCATAAGGGTCCTGGAATACCTCACAGGGACGGCCCAGCCCTACCTGCCCCTTTCCTTGCCCCCTGACGCATACACACGTCAGGCCTCTCCTAGCCCCTTGGACCCCTGAACCTTGAAGGGACTCGGCATTGTCACTGAAATCAGCCCTGGCTCCAGGCAGGGAAGGTTTTGGCCCCCAAGGACAGGTGCCAGGGCTGAGAAGAACCATGGGGGCCAGGGGCTCCAGTGCTAGTGTTTAGAGTGGGAAAGGGACAGCTGAGCCATATTGGCTCCCAGGGGCCCTGCCAGAAAGGCTGCACTCCTAGGACCCCTCAGTCCTACAGGGCTAAATCTGAGAGGAGCGCAGGGCAGGAGCCTGGGCCATCATGAAGATGGTGCCCTGTTTTCCCCTCCCCACCAGGGCAACTGGGCTTCACTGCTTAGAACTTGAGCTTGTTACCCAGAGCCACCACCCCCCAACTCAGCGCCTCCGGGTCAGCCCCGGCCAGGCCCCCTGGAACCAACTTCCCTGACTCCCTCTGTCAGACCTCAAGGGAGAGGGACATCCCTGGTGGGGACGGCAGTCAGGATAGTCCTCAGAGCTGTGCTGGAGAAGGGCAGAGGGGAGGGGGGCCGGGCAGAGCCCAGAGGCCATTCTGGGGGCGGGCGAACTGGGAGGGAAGGGGGGCAGGCCTCTTGGGGTTCCTGATGACACCTGAATGGAATAAAAAGAGAAGAACTTTAGGAAATGGAACTCACGTCTTACCATTTGTGCTGTTTGTTTACTTTTTATTTTGATTTTTTTGCATTTCCGCTTAGCTTGGATAATGAAACTACACTGGTCAGTTTCATTCCAGTTTCTATAAAAATCAGTTTTCCTTCCTGGTTTTCTTACACTTGTTGTTGTGTATTGGTTCAGAGCCCTGCAGGGAGTGTTGGAAAGCAGGCACACTCTATCCCTCCTGTTTTTCTGGAATTTAGTGCCAAAAGAAACAGTGTCACTGATACTGAATTTTTTTAAAAAAAAGAAAACTTAGGTGGATTTGAAAATGGGGGTCCAAATCAAGGTGACGGTCACCTGTCTGGGCCAGACAGGGGCCTCTGCACGTCCTCTTGCTGCTTTCTCCTCTTCTCTCCGTGTGTTTGTAGAGCACGGTTGGTGCGTGACTCTTGGGGACTGGTTTAGGGGATGATGACAGAACAAGACTCTTTCCAGCCCTGTGCACATACCAGTGGCATGCCTTCCCTTCCCATCAGCTCATCCTCCCGTCCCTTCTTCTGCCCCTACCTCCCATGTCAGGCGATCCCCATCCCACACCCATCTGCCTGCTCATCCTCACCACATCTCCACCCCACCTCTCATGATCTCAGAGACTCTCACTTCCTCCAGTGCCCAGGGCACAACCTCATTCTTCATCCTCCCCCTCCCCTGGGTAAGGGCAGCACACATGGCATTATCCCCAGGCTCCCAAAAGGAGAAACTGAGGCCCAGGAGGTGGGGTGGGAAAGGGGAAGGCAGAGGTTCCAACCTCTCTGCCACCCCAGATGCAGCCCATGGGCTCTCCTCTCTGCCCCTCTTTCATCCTGCTCTTCTCCAGCCCTGGGAACAGACCTTCCCAGAGTCACAGCTGATGACTTGGAGAGCAGAGCTGGGAAGGCTGTTACCTGCTGCTCCTTCTAATCTATCCTCTGTGCCCCTGAAATTCAAAGGGTCAATCCCTACTGAGTGGGAACCACCAACCACCAGCCAGGCACCCACACTGAGTTCAGACTCCCATCCTGGTTGATAGGTTAATGTACCCTGTATCCTGTTCCCCTGGTCATGGGTGCAGGATAGAGTGGCTGTAGGCCTAGCTCACCCCCCAGAGCTTTCCCTAGGGAAGCCCCAGCCTCCTGGATATGGCTCATCCTCAGCAAACAGGACGAAGGAGAGAAATAGGAGTCTCCAGGAGCCTCTGAAAGAGTTAATGCCCCAGAGAACAGCACTGGCTCTCAGTCCTCCCCAAGCTGCACTAAGCCCATCCCCCAGTGCCTTTTCTTTTGTTCAGCCAGTGGGGAGGCACTTTCTCAAGGCAGGAAAATTAGGACCATAATGTTGCATAACTCCAGGGGGCATGTTCATGTTGTAGACTGTCAGTGGTGCCACCAGGAGTTGTGCAACTCAGTAGCCATGAAAGATATGAGGATGCAGGCAAGGTAGTCCATGCTGGGTGTGGGATCGGGGACACAGGGATGTATTTAGTTATCATTGGTCCCCAAGAGTCATGGGACAGCAGCCCTGCTTGTTAGCAGTGGGAATAAATTTCTTCTTTGTCCCCTCCTGCCCCTGCCCACCCCCATTCTATCTCTTTTACACACACACACACACACACACACACACACACATTCATACACATATATACACAGGTTTCCCTGCCTCCAAGAGCCGGGATAATCTCAGACACTGGACACAGTCAAATCTATCTCTTTCTTGTTCCTTTGTGGATTCCAAGAGTTATTGTGGCATTTTCCTAGGGTTTTCTCCTCCACCCCCAAAGGTGCTTCTGTTTGAAACATCACTTCTCCCCCTCTAGTCCCCATCTCAAGTGGACATCAGTTTTCAAGAGCTGAGGAAGAAGAGCTGAGCCTGGCTGGAGTTGGTTGGGAAGCCTCAGCCACTACCTCCATTTTCCTGGGCTGGGATGATGAGGGCCGAGGGCCAGGGATCAGAGAAGGATGTATTGACAGGGGCCGCTGGTGGCCTCCTCCTCCAAGCCACCCTGTCCAACAGGATGAGCATGCATCGAAGCTGCACGCCCCCTCCCCCATAGACTTCCCAGCCCTCCACCACCCCCCGGCCAGGCACTCCTGCACGCACACTCCCACCACGGCAAGGAACTGCTCCTGCCTCCCCTGAGGGAGAGGCCATGGAACCCAGAGAAACACCAACCCTGTGTCCACCCACCACTCCCATTCCCCACTCCTCTAGATTCGAGGCCACAGGGCACCTATCACAGCAATGGCCACCACCCACTATAAATCCAAGGGGCTTACTGATGGTTGGAATATACTAGAACCCTAAGAGGTACAGTACACTTACCTCTTAAGGAAGTTGATATTGATTAATGTTGAACAGCAGTCTATTCCTGAGGGGGACAGTGGTGATGGACTTACCTAATTTCCTAAGGAAGAAGAAGCAGAGGCAGCATAGACCCATCTCTAAGTAGGGAGATGTGGGGAAGGGGTCAGTCTAGCCCTGTCCGTAAGTTTCTCCTTAGGTATCTGGCCTTGCTGGGGTTCAGAAGAGAGTACATGGCTGGGCATGTCTCCCAGAAATCTGCAGCAGTGAGACTCCCTTGATGGGGGGAGGGGAGGTAGCAGCCAGAGAGCAGAAGGAAGTGTGCCTTAAGGGTAAGGACAAGTCAGGAAGCTGGGAGTGGGTGCTGCTTTAAAGCTGTAGGGAAGGCAAGATGGGAGAGTGAGATCCAGGGCAGAGCCAGGCAGTGATGGAGGAGCAGAGTGTAGGAAAAGGGCAGGGTTCCCAGGCTGGCTGTCAGGAGGTCCCCAATGAGAAACAGGCTTCCAGGGTCCCCCAGTGAGCTTGGTGCACCCGCCATTGTGGTTCTTGCCCCCTGAGGCCAGCTACCCTGCACCTGGCATCAGGAAGGCTGGCTTCCGGATGCTGGTAATTCTGGCTCCTCTCCAGCTTCCCTTTTCCCTACTGGGCTTTTCCCATGTATATTGTTCCAGGGCAGCCTTTCCCAAACTGGGTTCCACAAGAGTTCTGTGGCCAAGTAAATTTGGGACATACTGGAAGTTTCAGCTGTTTCCTCCTATACGACTTTTCACAGCCTTTCATGCGCTAACATACATTACAAGCCCACGAGGAGCCCTAGGAATGGATTTCCCACTTATTTGGCCACAGAACCCTCATTGAGAGAACAGATAAAACATCTCCCAATTCACCTCTGTCATGAACACACAGTCTGGGAACAGCATTCCAGAGTTCACTCTTGAGCTTTCTGGGGGCTGTTTCATGGATGAAAAACCCTGCCCAGGGTGCAGGAGAGAATCCTTCAGTAGGGCTGGAAGGAGTGGCTCCCAGCACCCTGCCAGCTGACTGCCTGGCACCAGGGCTATGGCTCTGGCTTCGTGGGCACCAGGCAGGTAAAAAGGAAAGTCTCAATGACCAGTAGGACAATTAGTCAATAACTTCCCATCTTCCCCCTCCCCGCTTCCCTGAATCATCCTCCTCCCTGCCCCACCCCACCTTCCCCACCACCATGGAGCCACATCTATTAGAGAGACTTCTAAGGAGATTTCAGAGCCCTCCACCCAGCCCCGACTCCAGCCCCTTCAGCTACAAGTGTGACCCCCAAGTGCCTGACTTGGTTTTTCTCATTCATCACTGTGCACTTTGATTTCTAACCTTAGCCTCGCGGATGATGCCAGTTTGTTCTGTGATTTTTCCCCTTTTCCTTCTCCAGATGTCCAAACGGATTCTTCGGACAGAGATGTTTGGAGAAACTGCCTTTGCGATTGTACATGCCAGATCCTAAGCAAAGTATGTTTGAAGATACAAACACAAGTCCCTGCTCCTTAGAAAGCTTCCGGGTGCAGCTCCCCCAATGTAGGGCGTAGGGCCAGGGGTGTTGGTTGTTTTGATCTTTGGCTGTTTTGTTTTGTTCCTCTTTTCTTTTTTGTATTTTGGTTTGTTAGTTCTTTTGTTTTGTTTTGTTTTGCTTTGTTTTTCATTTTTGGCTTAATCTTTGGGTGTAAAGTTCAGGGCTGCAGGTAAGGGGCAGAGTGGCAGGGCCAGTACAAATGGTATCGGTGGCAAGGAACCAAGCTGGCATTGGCAGGAGCCTGTGCTGGGGTGTTGCGATGCCTGTGTCTTGCTATCCTGGCTCTCTCTTTCTGGTTTTCTTTCTTTTGGTAGGTGTCCTGTGGGATACACCGGGGACAGGTGTCAGCAGTTCGCAATGGTCAACTTCTCCAGTATGTCTCTTTCTTCTATTTCTTCTCTTCCCTGGTGACTGACAGTCTCCCCCTGCGGGAGGGATGGGCCCTTGCTTAGCAAGACTAGAGGTGTAAGCGGGGGTGTCCTGGGCTCTTCTCCATCCTCAGTGCTCACCAGAAGCCTGTGAAGAGGAGACCAATGCACCCCCTGGCACCCCACTTCCATACGTTGGCTGTACTGCCTAGGCACAGTAATGCTGAATTCTCTGGCCACCTCCAGGCCTCTTCCCCACTTCTGAGGTCAGGCAGCCTGGCCGGAATGGGAAGAACCATTTGCAGAGCCTCACCTGCCTTTGAAGGCTATTAGAGTGTGTCAAGCTGCTGAGGGGGGCCGGACAATGAGTGCGTGCATATGTGTGCTGGTGTGTTTGAGAACAAAAAAGTTCTCACAAAGCCTGCCTTCCAGTCTGGCCAGAGTACATTTGTTTGTTTGGGGGTTTGGAAACAGGGGCAGGAAGGCAGGAGGATTGAGGGAGAGCAAGAGCCAGGGCAGTGGTTTCCATGGATGCTAGACACATTCATGTGGCTACATGATGGGGTAGGGGCAGGGGGTTGCTGCAGATGCTGAAAGACTGAGGCAATGAGGAATCAAGGGGTAATTGGTGACTCTCAGGACCTCCCTGGTCTGAATCCCCATCCAGGATTTAATTTCCTTCTTTTCTGCTACTTCTAAGGTTGGAGCTTTCTGGCTTACACTGTTTGCCAAAACGCAAAAAGAAAGAAAGAAAAAAGTGAGCACTGCAGCCCAAAGATGCAGTCATAATTGTGGAGTGTTTTATTTGGGGCCCGAGAGCAGTTCCTTCAAGCACCACCAGGTGGAGGTGGAGCAGAGCAAAGAGCCACTGGCCAACCACAGACTCCGTTTGCCACCCAGTGGCCCGTTGGCCTTCAAGGCCGGTCTCCTGTCGCCCATCCCGTTCTGCAAAGCAGACTAGGCCCCTGCCCTGCAGACCCCCCCACCTCCTCTTCTCCAGGGAAGACAGCTCCTCCCATGAGGAGTTAGGAACGAGTGTCCAGAAGGTACCTGGATGTTCAGAGGTAGAACTCCGGAAGGTGCTGAAGGTGGGGCCCAGGGGACTATCTAGTTTGCCCTTGGAGAAATGGGTTTGGGGGTTTGGCTCTCAGGGTGGAGAAACGACCCTTCCCAGTCCTCTTTACACCAAAGCACAAAAGCCCAGAAATTTACTTCCCACCCCAACCCAGTAGCAGCATAGAGGACCCAGGGGGGTGGGGCTGGTCGGCCCAGATGGCCGCCTGTGTTAATAGAGTGCAATGGAGACCAGTGAGGAAGATCCTAGGGATAAGGGCAGAGTCTGTAGGCAGGACATGTGGCCCAACAGAATCCTGTAGAACCCAGGCTCTGGAAGAATTTCAGAGTTAGGTCCAGCCCTGTGTGAAAGACTGTAGGGCAGGAGGGGCCTCAGGAGGGGCAGAGCAGCCAGGCAGAGCCATGGGCCAGGTGAGAGAGGCAGTGGGGGTCATGTTCCTTTTCACTCTGGCTTATGGGACTGTGTAGGTGGGGAGTCCCGGCCCGTCCTGAATCAGAGCAGCAGAGCCTCTGGAACTCACGCCACTGTCCAAGGCCTCTCTGCCAACTGGGCTGCTTCAGCTTGCAGCTCAGATCTGCTGGGAGGGACAGGAGGGCCCCAGGAGCCCAGAAAAGAGTCTGCAAATGCAACCCAGGCCTTCCTGCCTAGCATCATCCATATCATTACTGTTACCTTTCAGTAAAGGATTTGTGTTCTTCAAGCACTTTCCCAGAGAGCACTTCATGCCCTGCTCTAGCAGATAATTCCTGAAAAGGTAGTGTGAAGTGCTAGCCTAAGTGTTCAGGCTTCAGATTCAAATGGACCCGAATAAAAATGCCAGCTGCTGAGCTTACGGGGTCTGGGGCCTCGTTTAACCTCTCCAATTGTGTTCTCCGTCTGCAAAATGGGGATGAGCACACTTACACCTGTAGGGTTGCTGTGAGGATGAAATGAAGTGATGCATATGAAGGGCTGAACAGAGAGCCTGAGTGCAGTTTAGGACCCCTCCCAGCTACAACTGGTGTGGAGGCTGACTTCCAGCACATCCTGAGCAAAGTGAATGACCTTCACACCCTGCCCAGTCAACGTCTAAACCAAGTTAACTTTTTCAGAGACCAAGGAAACAGAGCCTGTGGCCACAATAGTGCTTTGAAGCTTTTCCTTCTTCCACTGACAGCCCCTCTACTCTACAAGAGTCAAAGCTTGTCCATCTGCCTTCGCCCATGTAACAGAGCATACATACCTACATGCACACACACAAACACATGAGCACATGCTCACACACCTGCATGCACATGCAAACATGTGAGCACATGCTCAGACAGGGACAAACACATGAGCATGTGCTCATACACCTGCAGACACCAGCAAACACACAAGCACATGCTCACACCTGCATACATGCAAACACTGAAGCACATGCTCATGTCTGCACACACATCACTGCCTCCTTGTCCAGGCACCCTATGACTGTGTCATGAGACATATCCAGGATGAGGAATTTGCATGTTGTCTGGTAAGCCTTGCCCTGCTGGGAGTTCAGCCTCAGGTTGCCATGGTTATTGGTCAATATGCAAATTTCCGGCCAGTAGATCCTCCTGTGACTCAGTGGTGCCACCCCATCCTTGGCTGGACTGGTAGCCAGTGAGCATGGTGAGTGAGCGACTATTTTCATTGCTGGGGCAGACGTAGCAGAGGCTCCTCAGAATCCATCCCATGCTTCCCAGTGAGAAGCCAACCTAGTGACGGGCCCAGCCGTCAATGACCTCCCAATCATGCCAGCCACCTCTGGTCCACCCTACAGAATACTGGCCTTTGACTCAAAGAGGAGGCCAGTCAGGAGCCCTAGAAGCTACTGCTTATGCTACTATTTGGTTCTCAGAGGAGCGACACAGAAGAAAACTCTTAAAGGACTTTGGGAGCCCTGCTTGCTTCTCCAGATGGTCATTGTCCTCAAGAATATCCAGTCAGCCCTGCCCAGGGATTCAATGGGCAAGAATAGCCATGGGTTAGCCACAAGGGACCAGAGACCCAGCCCCCAGTCTCCTTGCTACCTCCTAATTTGCTGTGTGACCTTGAAAAAGTGTCTAGCACCACTGGGCCCCAGCTACCTCATCTAACATACCTTGTCCAAAGTTGTGGCCCAGACCAGCTCTGTGATCCCAGTCCTCTCAGTGTCCCAAGTGCTGTAGTCAGGCTGGGCTGTTCTCTATCAGGGGAGCATGTTTGGATATCCAAATAGTGTGACCTCCCTTGGAGGTCTGGGCCAAAGGACTACTCAGTTGCCCCAGGACCCTTTGAGTTTGTCAGGTTTGTACTGGCTACTAAGTTCAGCTAGCCAGCCCCAGAAAGGAATGGACAGATTGTACTTTTGGCAATATTCTCCTACCTCCATGCAATCAGAGTAAGACCACAAAGACACCAAAAGTTCTAGATCACTCCCCAATTCGGGTTGCACAGGAGTGCACAGAAGGGCCCATGTTTGGAAGGGCTGGGATTAATGCTTCAGTGGTGTAGTCTCTTTATGGAACTTGGGGGTCAAAGCCCCAGGGTCTTCTTCAAGTCTTTTTCAGTCACAGCCATCTTGGCCCCTGGCTCAGAGCCACCTGCTCTGCTGCCTTTTCCAAATGCAGAACCTTCTGGAATCCCTATCAGGAAGCAGAAGAGGGAGGCAGGGATGGAAAGTACATAGGACTTCCTGCTGATTGTCCCGTGCTCTCCTTCTTCCTCAGCAGATGAGAACATCAGACACAATGTCATGCCCTCCCTGGTCCTAGCCGAGCTGACTGCACATGTGGGGAGGCTAGAGAGTGAGCAAACCCTGGCTGGCAGGAGCGGGGCCCTCACACTGTGCTGAGCCTCTTGCTGTCCGGGCCTGCTCACACTTTCCTCAAACTGTGCAAGGCGCTTTAACAGAGACTGCTTTCCCACATCCCCATAGCAAATCAGGGATAGAACTGAGACTCCAGGCCTGCAGACAGGTGCTGGCTGCTACCATAGAATGGTAGGTGAGCTTTTTAAAAACACTGTTGAGATTTCTGGGCTCTTATCCAGAGCTGATTCCATTGGTCTGGATGATTCTGAAGCACAGCCAGGTTTGCCATCCTCCCAGGATCCCTGACCAGTTTGATCCCCATTTAACAGAAAAGAGACTGAGACCTAGACATGTTGGGTATCACTGAGGGTCACACAGTAGGTCAGTGGCAGAGTGACCCTTGGACCAGGACCCCTTTATCTAACCCCTCAGTGGCATGGGTGTCTCCCTCGCAGGGCCCTGAAATCATACATTCATAATGTGATCTTACTTCCAAGACTGTGATTTGTCCACCAGTGGAGGTGCTCGGACGTCCCACAGGTGAACCCACTTGCCTTTCTCTGAGTTGCAGTTTGCTCTTCTAAGTAGAGAAATCGGCCCAGCACCATGGCCCAGCCCCTGCAGGCTTCTAGAGTGTTGAGGGTGTCAAGTGGAGAGGTGACCTTCTGCTTGGAGCCCCCATCTCTCCCCACCCCTGCTCCCCCAAAGACTCTGAGGCTCCACACCATGCTCCTGGTAGATGGGCAGACCAGCTAGGCCTGTGGGGCAGGGCAGGGATATATGGGGCCAGTCCGGGGACCTCCACCCTCATTCTGAAGAGAAAGAAGGGCCACCATGAGTCAGCTAGGAGCTGGGCAGATGGGCAGACCAGCTAGGCCTGTGGGGCAGGGCAGGGATATATGGGGCCAGTCCAGGGACCTCCACCCTCATTCTGAAGAGAAAGAAGGGCCACCATGAGTCAGCTAGGAGCTGGGCAAGCTGTCCCCAGGAGGGCTTGAGAGTGCTGAAGGCCTGGCACTGGAAGTGAGAGGAGGAGAAGGGGGGCTCCTTGGACCCCCACCCCACTCACCCTTACCTCCCAGGGGACATTTGCAAACTGATCCTTGCACCTCTGCCTCCCCACCAGGTACTAACCTCACAGCTCATCTCTAAAGAACCTGCCCTGCCTGCTGAGTCTAACATTTCCTCTCTGTACCCATCTGGGGCTCTTGGGGACTAGGTGTCAGGGAAGGAGCTCAGGAGCCGGGAGGGGACACTACTAACCTGCTTTCACCTCACAGGCTGGCTGCCCGGTGTCTGAAGAGTCCTGACCAACGTTTCTCTCTCTCTCTCTCTCTCTCTCCTCCCCATCTCTCTCTATCTGTATCTCTCTCCACCCCTCCCCCCCTCCAACCCTCCTATCTCCTGCACTGCCAGAGCACCTTGGATTTGAATTAAAGGGTACGGAACCTCTTGTGTATCACTCAGCATCACCCACACAGCCCTCTCCACAGCCTCTGTCTGACACCATGCATGCTGAATGTTTGGTCTCCTTTCCAAAAAATGGAAAAGGGACAATTCCAAGAATCTCTCCTGTCCTATCATAAACTATGTTGATTTGGGGTAGACAAAAGAAGCTCGTGAACACGGTACCTGGAGTTCAGACTGGACTCCCAGTGTACAGAAGCACCCCCTTGCATAGGGGAGATCTACTGCTGGGGGACCTCAGAGGGGAGGGGCCCCTTCGGAGCTGTATGCAGCCCAGCGGGTGGCCAGAAAAGAGACAGGCCCCCCGTGAACGTGGCCCCTCAAAGGGCCAGTGTCCAGAAACCACAGAAGGCTGGTTTGGAGAGTTGTACAGAGAGACATCCCTTTCCATCTGACTTTAATTCTCTTTCCTTTTCCCATTTCCATGCCCATTGCTTTTCATTCTGCACCGGGTCAGTAGTCGCTAACTCCCATTTGTCTCTGCCTCTGTCTGTCAGCCAGGCTTTGCCATCTGCTTGAGGCTGTCACTCCCTCCATGATCTGTCCCCATAATGGCACACATGTACGTCTATGGGCAAGACCACCATGGGTCTGGGTTGGGCTGGCCTCTTGGGCCTCCTCCTTGCCCCCTAGCTCAGAAACTTATGTGGCCCCCTGCCACCTGCTGCTGCTGCCTTCTGGCTCCTGGAAGTTCCCTTGACCTGGAAGGGACCTTGAGGAGTCAGTGTTTCCAGCTCTCCAGCTTTGTGCCAGGAGCCTCCACCCCAGCCTCAGGTGTCTGGACTTATTACAGCAGGAGAGATGCAGGGGCTCAGAGGGGTCAAGACTTCAGTGGGGACGGACTTCAGACGTGGTGTGGGGCCTGCAGTTATGTGAAGGCTGTTCTCGTGGCAGGTTTGGGGAGGCCGTAGTTCCCCCACCACCTAGCCCCTATCAGCTGTTCTCAGTAGAAGACGGAGCTTGAAGTCTGTGTGTAAGAGTGTGTCTGTCTGTACCTGCTGACTATAATGGGGGGTGAGGGGTTGAGTCTGTGTGGGGTCTGTAGTTGTGGCAGGGTGCGGGGTGAATCTGCAAGGATGTGCGGGGGTGGTGAAAACATGCACCTTGTTAGGTCTCTCAGGGTAGGATGCAAGTGCGTGGAAGGGGATGGAATACTGTGTCTCTGTGTGAAGGGCTGAGTGTCGTACACTTGGAACCGTGAATGTGAATGTTTCTGTGTCTGGAAGGGTGGTCCATATGTTCACTCACTCACCAACACACTCAGTGTCTCCTGACATCAGAAGTTAGTGGACACACACATTCACAGGTGAGACAGACAATGAAAAAGAAGGACATCAGGTGGTGATAAGTGCTCAGGAGAAAATAAAATGAGGTAGTAGGAAGTGTCTGGCTGGAGTGGGGAGCTACATAGCTAAGTAGTCAGGGAAGGCTTGTCTGATGAAGTGGCATCTGGGCTAAAACCTGATGCAAAGTAGCCAGCCCCACAAACAACGGGGGGAGCAATCAAGGCAGGGTGCACAGCAAGTATAGGGATCATGTGGCTGGAGTGGGCTTGCCTTGTTCAGTGGATGGAAAGACTGCCAGCGACTCTGGAGCGTAGCGGACATGGGAGAGAGGACTGTAGATGAGATCCAAAAGGAAGGCTGGGACCAGGTAACCTGGGGCCTCATAGGCCATGGTAAGGCTTTGGGAAGCCATTGTGTGTTTCTAAGCAGTGGAGTAAAATGATCTGCTTTATGGCTGTAAATAAATGTAGCGTCAGGTGGGCAATAGCCTGGGGCTGGGGGCGGGGTGGGGAGGCATGGAAGCAGAAAGATCCATCAGAGGAGAGGTGGCATCGTCCTGGACTAACTTGGAAACAGTGGAAATATTAAAATGTGGTCAGATCCAGGATCCACTTGCAAGGTAGAGCTTAGAGGACTTGTGGATAGACAGGTACCAGGACAGGAGGGAGAAAGGAGGTAATCGAGAATGATCCCAGGGTTCAGGGCCTGAGCAACAGGAAGGGTGGTGCTGCACTGCTGCAACAGGAAGAGCAGAAAGCGGGTTCGGAAAGAGGGTGGGGATCAGTGATTCTGTCTGGCCATGGCCCGTGGATACATGAGTCTGAAGCTCAGGGAGAAGTCAGGCCAGCAGATAGACATTTGAGAGCCTTCATATAGATGGCATTGAAGTCTGAGTCTGGATGAGATCACTAAGAGACAGAAGGCAGGTGGAGAAAAGAAAGCCTGAGAGCCCTAGGCCCTTCTAGCTTCCAGCCCAAGTAGAAGAGAAGGAAGCAACTGAGATGGAGAAAGATCAGCCAGTGGAGTAGAGGAACCCCAGGAGAGACAAACATTGGGAAAAACCGGGGGAGTGGGCCCCAGCAGGAGAGAGTCAGCTGAGAGGGAAGCAAGTGCCCCTATGACCCACAGCATGGAGCTTGTTGGAGACATGACCAGAGTGGTCTAGCAGGAGTGACAGAGACAGATGTCTGACTGGAGGGGATAGAGGGGGGGTGCAGGGATGAGAACTGGAGGCAGTCCTGTGGACCCCAGAGCCGAGAAATGGGGATTTGGGGCAGCCATCTGGTTGTTTAAGACTCCACTCAATTATGTGTCAGTAGGCATGAGTGTGTGCATGTGCACCTTTACTAGAGTGCTTAACTCTGTGTGTATGCATGTGTGGGCCGTGTTGTGTGTGCAGGTTTGCATGTGGGTGAGAGTATCTTTGTGAGGGGGGTCTGTCTGTGATCAGATAGACATAGTCATAAATGTATGTGTGTCTGGAGGGTTTGTACCCCTGGGCGTTTGCCAGTTTGCTTTGCCATAGGAAACGCCACAAGCCCAGAAGGTCAGGGATCTTTCCCAGGGCTCCACCAAGGTGTTGGGATCCAGGCTCCAATTATCCCTGAGCTGGGGGTGGGGTGGTAATGAGGAGGGGCCAGCCAGCAGTGCAGGTGGGCAAGGGAGAGGTCTCTGGGCTATAGCCTTGCCTATGGCTGGTGCTGTCACCTTTTTCCTTTTCTTCCTCCTGGTTTCTCCATTGTAGAAGGGTAGGGGTAGAGAGCAGTCAGGCCTTTTTGAGGGCTCTGAGGCCCAGCCTAGCTCAGCTCCTCAGAAAGGGTGGGGACTGTTCTAGATGCCAGGGAGCTGTGCTGCCACTGGTGGGTTTCTCACAAGCAGAGACAGTGAGGCCTGATGTGGGCCAGGGCCACAACCCTGACCAGCCTGCAAGGATAAAGAGAGGTCTTTCTCCCCACACCCTTTCCATGGGCTTGGTCTGCTGTGTCCCTGCTCTCGGTCCCCACCTCCCTCCTAAGCCCAGCCTCTGGGTCTGAGGGGCTGTCAGCAGCCAAGAACAAGCCACTCTCCAACTGCTTAGGGAAGCCCAGGGTCTACATGTTCACTGCCATGAAGAACAACCCTCCCTGGCCCACCAAGGTTCTTCACAGCTGCCAGGCCACAGTGGAGCAGGGCAGGGTTGCTGGCCAGGCTGGCTTGCCCCCCACCACCACCCCACCCTGTTCTATGGCCTGGGGAGCTTCACCGCCACTCCACCCCTCCCATCCCTCTGCATTTTCCACTCACATGCTCTGGGCAGGCATGGGGTTTGGGGAGATGAACTCAGAGCTAGTTGCGTGTGACCAGATCCATGGGTGGGTGGGAGCTAGCGGGGAAACAGAAGGCAATCTAGGAGCGGGCAGGAGGGAAGGGACTGGATGGGGAGGGAAGGGATGGAGAGCAGCTGGGCAGAGCCTGAGCTGGAGGGGTCTGGGGCTGTGGGAGCAGGGGGCCTCTGCCCCACTGGCCCCACGGGGTCTGCCTCCTGCCCTGCCCCTCATGTCTGCTCTGCCTCTGCAGAAGCTGAGGAGCTGTACCAGAAGAGGGTCCTGACTATCACCGGCATCTGCGTGGCTCTGCTGGTCGTGGGCATCGTCTGCGTGGTAGCCTACTGCAAGACCAAGTGAGTGTCAGGCACTTAGGCCAGGGACATGCCAAGACGGGATGGGCCTCCAAGACAGTTCTTATGAAGACAGGCTCTCCTCCTCTACTGTGCCCAGCCTCAGCCCACCCCCCACACCCTCCTATGCCCCAGATGCCCCTTCAGGGGCCTCTGCAGCTGGTATGGGGCCAGAGGGTTGGGCCAAGAAGCAGGAGGACAGGCTTTGCAAGAAGACAAATCTAGGTTTAAATCTAGCTCTGCCCTTTCCCATGTGATCTTGAACAAATTGATGAACTTCTCTGAGTCCTCACGGGAATGATCCTAGTATGTATAGCAAAGGATGGTGGGAGGGCCTGAGCAGGAGCATGCAGCTGACCCACAGGCTCCTGGAGCAAGGGCTCTGTCTAATGGGCAGACACAGGGCAGAGTTGAGGGGAAGCGTAGAGAAGAAGGCTACATTCCCAGGGAAAGACACCTCAAAAGGCACCGCCCGACCCCACCCTGGGAGTGGTTGAGACCAGAGCACAGAGAAGGTGGCGGTGAAAGGTAGAGGCAGTACCTCGGGGCAAGAATATGTGGACAGGTAAGTTGAGCAGTTCAGTAGAATAGCGCAAGTTAAAAGACAAACACAGATGAGGGCCGGCCATGTTCCTGGAGCATGGAGCAGCCCAGACTAGTTGGTGCAAAGAACTGGGTCCAGGAAAAAGGGGGGCATGAGTCTAAAAAGATAGCAAGGACCCAGATGGCACCATAGGGCCTTGAATGCCAAGCTAGGGAGTCTGGGTTTCTACTGCAGACAATGGGGAGCCAATGAAGGTTGTAGAGTGACATAGTGCAGAAAAAATGATAGGTCTGTCACATTTGTTCATATCTGGAGAGCAAGAGTCTAGGCATAGTCACCATTTTGGGGACTGAGGCCCTACTGGTCTTGTCTTGGATGAGTCCATGACTCCCGGAAGGCTGGAGGTGAGGAAGGAAGGAACCGGGGCTCGTGGAGCCCAGAGGAGGAGACTGGGCTCGAGGGAAGACTGAGTCCAAGAACTGGCGAAGAATCAAGCCCCCGTTCTTATCCCCGCTGTATTTACTCATTTCTCTAACAAACATTCATTTAATGCCTGCTGGACACCAGACCATGCCCCAGGTACATTGCCAGAGCTCTGAGCAAGTCCGGTGTCAAGGCACACATTTAAGAGGCACCTAATCTTGGCTGGAGGGCAGGAGGGCTTTTCCTGAGGAAGCAGCGTTTAGTTGGGGCCCGAGAAGTCAGCAGGTGAAGAGGCAGAGAAAGTATTCCAGGTGAATGACCTAGTATGTGCAAAGGCCCAGAGGCCAGAGAGGGCCCAGCCCAGTAGAGGATGAGAAACAAGCTCTTCAAGGATGCAGATAGGGCTAGGGAGAGGAACAGGACACTGAGGGTCAGTGAAGGGCTTTAAACAGGGGAGTGACATGATTAGACTTATTATAAAGCAAATTTATTGAGCATTTAACATGTGCCAACGTAAATTAGTCCCACAAGCCATGACTCCCTAAACATAGAGACCTGTTTTATTTTCTTCATAGTATTTTACTGAAAGTATCTAGTTCACTTATTTGTTTTTGTTTTTATCATCTGTCTCCCTTGCTGGCCTGCAGGCTCCATGAGGGCAGGGACCATATCTGTCTTCTCTGCTCTAAAACAGTGTCTGGCACATAGTAAAAACTCACTAAATACCAAATGAGTGGATGAGGGAGGGAGCCAGCACTGTGCTTGAAATATACTTTTAATCATCAAGTCTTTGGAGTGGGTAAATGATCACCCATTTTACAGATGAGGGAAGTGAAACACGGACAGCTTAAGTAACTTGCCCAGGGTTATGCAGCTAGAGAGCAGTGAGTTCTACTCTCGCAGCAGAGCCAAAGCCTGTCACTACAACGAGCAGGTGCTTCTGGGTTCAGGGTGGCGGTGCTGGTGTAGGGGCAGATTAGAGGGGTCCTGGCTGAGGATGCTCGAGCACAGGGAAGGGGGGTAGCCACGGCAGTCCAGGGCAGAGGTAAGGGTAGTTGCCCTGGAGGGACAGTTAGGGAAGTTCATTCATTCATTAATTGGGGGAGGAGGGCATGCCAGGCTCACCTACCCTTCCTCTGTGCAGAAAACAGCGGAAGCAGATGCACAACCACCTCCGGCAGAACATGTGCCCAGCCCACCAGAACCGGAGCTTGGCCAATGGGCCAAGCCACCCCCGGCTAGACCCTGAGGAGATCCAGATGGCAGACGTGAGTAGTGTTCCAGGGTCCCTATCTAAGCCAAACTTCTCATGCCCCCGGCAAGGATGGACCAGGGCAGCAGCCAGCCAGCCCATGACCAGCCCTGCCTGCTAGGCATTGCCTCGCCAGGATGGCTGGCCCGGCTTTGCCCACTGCCGTGAGGAAGGGGCGGGGGGGCGTTGATCTGCTGGGGCTGTTGCTGCCCCAACATCAAGTCACTTCTCATCCAGTGGACCCCCCCCTCCACACACACACACAGCCTGCAGCTTAGTACTCATCACTTCCCTGTCCCCCTCAGGAGAGAGGCTCATTTGGTCCCCCATCAGTAACTGCTACCAACTGTATGTTCCAGTATATCTCGAAGAACGTGCCAGCTACAGACCACGTCATCCGGAGGGAAACTGAGACCACCTTCTCTGGGAGCCACTCCTGTTCTCCTTCTCACCACTGCTCCACAGCCACACCCACCTCCAGCCACAGGTGCAACCCCCACGTCCCATAAAAATGTGTAGCTTCCTGTACTTTATCTGGCATGTGTGCCTCCTCAAACACCGAGCTATGTGACACCCTCTCCTAAGTTGGCCACACGAGTCACAGTCCACCTCAGCTTTCTCTCCAGAACTGGGAAGGCCTGTGTGCACAAGCACAAGGGCTCACATAGCTTAGGAAATAACACAGCTGGCCCCTTTCTCCCTGAGGAGCAGCATGGAATAGTCAGGGCCCCCACCTACTGGCCACTGGGGCTGGGCTCCTGAGATAGGGGGCTAAGGACCATGGGGGTGGAAGGACCCAGACAGGAACTCCAAGGCAAGGCAAGTGGGAGGGTGGGTGCAGGGAGGAAAGGAAGGGTCCTCTGCACGCTGAGCTCACCCATCCACGGGATCCCAGGCCTCCCTGTCCCAATATTGGAGCTGGGCATTTGCAGTGCTCCACCTTAGCCCGGAATGAAGAAGGGCAATGAGCTGAGGGAGCCCAAGGCAGAATGAAGGACCAGCCAGGGGGCGGCCATGGGACCACACATGCTGGGCCACCCTGCCCCTTCCTGACCCCTTGCCTCACCCCCATCTGGCTTTCCAGACACGAGAGCCACACATGGAGCCTGGAACGTTCTGAGAGCCTGACCTCCGACTCCCAGTCGGGCATCATGCTGTCATCAGTGGGCACCAGCAAGTGCAACAGCCCAGCATGTGTGGAGGCCCGGGCACGGCGGGCAGCAGCCTACAGCCTGGAAGAGCGGCGCAGGGCCACCATGCCTCCCTACCATGACTCCGTAGACTCCCTGCGCGACTCCCCACACAGCGAGAGGTCAGTTCCTACCCCACTGACCCAAGGCTGACTCTTAGGGCACCTCAGAGACACTCCAAAGTGCCTCATCTCTATTTTTGGATGGGCAAATAAGGTCCTGGAAAGGTTAAATGGTTTGCTCAGGGACATCAGCATGTTAATGACAGACCAGGATTACAGCTGGGCCGGTGGACCCTGGTGTGGAGTGACCATCTAATTTAATTGTCCTACTAGGACACTTTTTAGAGTAGAAGAGGATGTTATTAATAATTGCAGTGGAACATTAGGAACAAATCGTGGCTGTTCCAGACATTCAGGACATATGGTTTTCCTATCCTGGTGTCACCTAGAGGCCCCTTGTCCCAGCAGGAACAGAAAGACACCAAGATCAAGTAGATTGGAAGGTGAGAGGGGAGGTTGTCTTCAAGGAGACTAACCAGTGCAGGATGGACATGAGCCAAGAATGATCACAGGCCCTGGCAGTATCAGCAACAAGTCCCCACGGTTCAAGGCATTGTTGGGTTCCCAATCAATGGATGCCGTAAGAACCAGGAAACTCTCCTTCCCTGACTCCAAGTAAGGAGTCACTGGGGGCCAGCCCCTCACTTTGCGTAGCCCTTGGCAAATAGGAACTGTGGGAGGAGAGGAGAGGAAGGTGCGCGGTACAAGAACTCCAGGCCAGGGAGGAGGGAGAGGAACAGATGTTCTCCTACTCTCAGCTCAGCCTGCTCCATGCCAGGCCTGTGCTGGGCAGGCTGCCGGGGATCCAGAGATGGCCCATTTGGTTCCTGCTCCTGAGGAACTCCCAGCCACAGAGTCAAACCACTGATGTTGACAGCAGCCTATGGAAAGTGCTAAGCACAGGACACCATACCATGGCAGAGAAACCCAGTCTGACTGCAGGCTCTGGGAAGCAGCCAAGTTTTCCAAGGCCCACCTTTCCAAGCCCAGCCCCACCACCTGTGTGATTTGAGGCAGATTGACCACTTCTCTACCTTGTTCCCTCAGCTGTAGAGCATGGTTTTGGTGAAGGCCACCTGAGATAATGTGCACAAAGCTCTTTGCCTTGTACCTGGCATGGAGCTGCTGCTCACTAGGTGTAGCTATTGTTACCACAGCAATAGAATTTCTTAATGGGTGATAGAAAGGTGAGAGGCAGAGACAGGGAAGGAAAGCATTCCAGGCATGGGGAACAACTTGAGCTGGTCTAACAGAGGCACTGACAAACATGGCTGGGGGGTGAAGTGCCTGGAGCAGGGTGGGCTGCAGGGAGCAGTGGAGCTGGGCCTGCACAGGCAGACTGAGGCCAGAGAGATGGAGGAGGAGAAGGTGGGGGTTTTCCTGCTTCTGCTCAGGAGGTGAAGCCAGGTGGGGGGTGGAGGGGAGGTAAGCAGGAAGGGCCTACATAAGCAAAGCTGTGACTTTGAAAGATCACTGTTGGAATTGCATAGAGCAAAGGAGGAGAGACCCTGGGGTGGGGCATGACCAGAGTGAACAGCTGGGCCCAGAATGGGGTGGAGGATGTGCTCCCAGAGAAATGGGTAGGAGTTGGGTTAATTAGATGTGCATGTGGGAGAGGGAAAATGTTTTAGTTCGTTTTGTGTTGCTATAACAGAAATGCCTGAGACTGGGTAGTTTATAAAGGAAAGAGGTTTATTTGGCTTATGATTCTGGGACAGCTGCATCTGGCATGGGCCTCAGGCTGCTTCTACTCATGGCAGAAAGTAGCAGGCAGCCAGCAGGTACAAGCAGATCACATGGCGAGAGGAAGCAAGAGAGAGAGAGGAGGTGCCAAGGTCCTTTAAACAATCAGCTTCCATGGGAACTAATAGAGCGAGAACTCACTCATTAATCCCTCCTCCCCCAGGGAGAGCATTAATCCATTCATGAGGGATCCACCCCCATGACTCAATCAGTTTCCAACACTGCCACATTGGAGATCAAATTTCCACATGAGTTTTGGAGGGGACATCACATCCAAACTCCATCATTCCACCCCTGGCACACAAAACTCATGTCACTCTCACATACAAAATGCAATCATTCTATCCCAACAGTCCCAAAGTCTTAGCTTGCTCCAGCACCAATTTAAAAGTCCAAAGTCCAAAGTCTCATCTGAGACCAGAGGCAAAAGTCCTTCCAGCTGTGAACCTGAAAAACAAAACCAAGTTTATCTACTGCCAAGATACAATGGTGGAACAGACACTGGGTATACATTCCCATTCCAAAAGGGAGGAATAGGCCAGAAGAAAGGACAAACAGGCCCCGAACAAGTCCAAAACCCAGCAGGGCAGACATTATGTCTTAAAGCTCCAAAATAATGTTCTTTGACTCCAAAGTCCTGCATCCTGGGCATAATTGGGCATCTGGGCCCCCAAAGCATCAGGAGACCTCATTCCCACAGCTCTGCCAGGTGCAGCCCAGTGGGCCATGCTGGTGCCTGTGGCTTTTCCAGGCCTGCGTTGCATGTTACCAGCGGCCCTGGAGTTCTGGGGTCCTGGTGGCAGCCCTGCTGCATTGGCTGTACTAGGTATTTCCCTGGTGGGGGCTCTCTGTGGGGGCTCTGACCCCACTTTCCTGCTCTGCATTGCTCTAGTAGATGTCCTCTGCAGTGGCTCTGCCCCTGCGGCAGGTCTCTGCCTGGACCCCCAGGCTTTTCCATACATATTTTGAAATCTGGGTGGAGGCTCCCAAGCCTTCCCAGCTCTGGCATTCTGTAAGCCTGCAGACCTAACACCACATGGACACTGCCAAGACTTCTGGCTTGTATTTGCCAAAGCTGCGGGTCCAGCCACACCTAAGGCCAATTTAGCCACAGCTAGAGCAGCCAAAGCAGCTGGGGTACTGGTGCTGGAAGCAGCTTCTCGAGGTGGCCCTGGGCAGCGAGCCCATGGAGGGTGCCTCGGGCCTGTTCTGCAAGACCATTCTGTCTCCCTAGGCCTTTGGGCCTGAAATAGAACAGTTGGCCCCAGAGGCTTCTGCAATGCTTTCAGGGTTGTTTTCTCCTTATCTTGATAATCCCGTTCCTTTGTACTAATCTTCTTAGCTAATGGTCGCTGGGCCACACCATTGCATGCTCTCTGCTTTTCTACCACATGGCTGTGCTGCAAATTTTCCAAATCTTTATGCTCTGATTCCCTTTTAAATTCTGGCTTTACGTCATGATTTTGCTGCCATAACTCAGAGTAGGCTCTTAAAAACAACCATGCAGCTTCCTTAATGCTTTGCTGCTCAGAAATTTCTTTGGCCAAATGCTCTGGTTCACAACTCTTAAGTCCCACCTTCCACAAAGTCCAAAGGCATGGACACAATGCAACCAAGTTCCTTGCTATGGTGTAGCAAGAGTGATCTTTTGTCCAATTCCCGGTAAGTTCCTCATTTCTATCTGAGACCTCATCATCCGCATGGCCTTTACTGTCCACATTTCGATCAGCATTCTGCTCACCACCAAATAAGTCTCTAAGACATTCCAAACTTTCCCTCATCTTTCTGTCTTCTTCTAAGTCCTCCAAACTCCTCTAATCTTTGCCCATTACCCAGTTCCAAAGATACATCCACATTATCAGGTATCTGTATAGCAACACCCCACTTCTGATACCAGTTTTCTGTTTTAGTCCATTTTGTGCTGCTATAACAGAATACCTGAGACTGGGTAATTTATAAAGGAAAGAGGTTTATTTGGCTTACGATTCTGGGACAGCTGTATCTGGCATGGGCCTCAAGCTGCTTCTACCCATGGTGGAAAGTGACAGGCAGCTGGCGGGTATAAGCAGATCACATGGCAAGAGGAAGCAAGAGAGAGAGACAGAAGGTGCCAGGGTCTTTTTAAGCAATGAGCTCTCATGGGAACTAATAGAGCGAGAACTCACTCATTAATCCCTCCTCCCCCAGGGAGAGCATTAATCCATTCATGAGGGATCCACCCCCATGACTCAATCAGTTTCCAACACTGCCACATTGGAGATCAAATTTCCACATGAGTTTTGGAGGGGACAATGCATCCAAACTCCATCAGAAAAGGAGGTGTCAGGTGATTCAGAAAGAATGATATGGGGACTCTGGGCTGGTTCTAGAGAACAGTGAGGAGCCCACCTGAGCAGTTTGGAAGAGAGGCATGGAAGTGGGTGGTTCCAGTCCTGGTGTAGACAGTGGTAGGACAAGAGGCAGATGAACTCAAAATGGGGATGTGGAAAAGGAAAAGGGACAGGTATCTAGGACCCAGACTGGGAGATATTAGCAACGGAAAACTTTTGAAAGTAACTGGGGGTCTTTAGCCCCAGACAGAGATATCTAAGGTCTTGGTGTCTGTCAGCTCTGGGCTGAGGACCCTGCCTGGGATGTGAGCAGTTACTTCCTGAGGCAGCTTTTGGCTTCAATATAAGAAGGAATATTTCCCTTACTGAAGCCATCAGGCCATGGGATGAATTGTCCCTACAGGGGCAAAGAGTCCAGGTTGCAGGGGTATCTCAATGGGAACCAGTGGTTTCTGGAATTGGGCAGTATGAATCCTGGCTCCTGCCTGGCCTCCGTTAAAACTCCAGTTCTGCCACTTCCTGGCTGTGTGACTCTTGAATAAGGCACTTAAAGGTTCTGAGTCTTGCTTTCCTGTGTGTAGTATGGGACTAATGTAAGGGTCTTACAGAATTACTGCACAAGATGAGGTCGCATATGTAGCAGGGTACTTCAGAAAGTTCGTGGATGGGATGGCTGGTTAGCTCAGTTGGTTAGAGCACGATGTTATAATACCAAGGTCAAGGGTTCGGATTCCCATACTGGCCAGATGCCAGGAAAAGAAAAAAAAGTTCGTGGAAAAATAGAATTAAAAAACAACACGAATCTTTCCATGAACTTTTTGAAGTACACTGTAAAATGCCCCAGCCCAGGCCGGCCCGGTGGCGCACTGGATGGTGCGCCGCTTGGGAAGCGCGGCAGCGCTCCCGTCCGAGGGTTCGGATCCCATATACAGACCGGTTCCCGCTCGCTGGCTGAGTGAGGCGCGGGAGCAACACCGAGGCTTGCGATCCCGTTGCGACCGGGGGCAGCACTGAGGGTTGCGATCCGCGACTTG